GAAAGCGGAGAAAGGTCACTGCAGTGTGCTACTTTTACATAGCTGCGGTCAGAAAATTTCAGTCGTTAGGACTGTTCACCCAGCACCTTTCACCAGCAATGAATTCAATGAAGGTAGAAGAGAAATAATTTGAGTTGAAAAAGCTTGTGGATTGTTTGTGTGAGATACAGTTAGCCTCTATGAGTCACTGCCGCAGATTGTTTGCTTTTAGCACACTTTTAAAGAGAACTGGAAAAAGAAATAAACACTAAACCCATAAAAGATCATACTTGGTGTTTCTAAGTTTTAGCCAGTCGCTCATTAGGTTCAGAAAAGCATTTCAGAGATGAACCATGTTATTCCTGGTATATTGTTCCCTATCGCCACTCCAGCAAACCAAAAGGTTACACATGACCTTCAATAGTGGCCAACACATACTGCAACCACTCTTTTAAAAAATGAAGCTCTTCTGTTTGGGTAGTGATATAATTCAGCCCATACATAAGTATATCCCAAAATTAATAAATTCACCCTGACAGCACACCAGTGCAAGCCTTAAAAATTATTGCTACCTCTTCACAGGCAGTAAAATGTGACATGGAACAAAATTACTTGCTCAAGGATTTAGAGGAATTGGGACCAATTAAGTTTTCATGGGGAACTTTAGGAAGGGTAGGCACAACATAATTACTCAAACAGAAATTCAAACACTGCACTCAAACTGGCAACCATTCTCTTATGACTGCACATGGGCTCGACCAAGGTTACATGTCTCACTAACAGGATGACACCTCCAGCACCATATTCCTTCGCATTGCCATCCAACTCCTGCCTTTACATTGAGTCACAACACAGCCACATAATGAATCCTGAACAAGCCTCCTCCTGAAGCACTAATTTTGAAACAAATAGGCAATATATGCAATAAATGCAATAAATATAGGCTATATATGCAATAAATGCAATCCCCTAGCTTACCTTAGTTTTCCCCTTCTTTAGTATCCTAAGAGTATAGTTTTATTTGGACTAGATTATCTTCTGCAAGAGATCACCGGTGAGAGATCTCACAAAACCTCACCATTCTTCTTGGCCATGGAAAATGAAAATTAAAACTGCTCAGTGGCACCTAGGCCTGTGTGACTTTGACACTATGATGGAAGCACTCTTTTAAATGTAGTTATGGGCTACGGTCTTCAAATGTCCATGTGTGCAGATGCAGGATAAATGAAATGCTTGTAGGTGGCTTGCATTCCATGATATCTTTAAAAAAATGATCAAGACTTAGGTTTCAGGTTTGTGCTCATTTTTTTGAAAGTCACATCATATAAGACAGTCATTCTAGCTTATTCTTTTTTTTAAAAAAGGGTCACAGCTTGGATAAAAATCAGTCACACATCTAACTGGGCAGCTGTCATACATTTACTTATACATACATACTTATATATACACACACACACATTATATGACTGGGCATCAGCAACTGACAATACATGAAACAGCCAAGAAGAATGTATTGAGCAGTGTTGTCTTAGATTTCACAGGGGACAGTGACTGTACATGTCTGCGGTTTTCAGGTGCCAAGATCTTCGCAGCGAGTCTAGTTTTGAGTGGAGCTGCTTGGTACGTTTTGCAAACCAGACTCTCAGAACGTGTTTCTGACTAGGAACCTACTGGGGAGGTATTATAACCATTAGTCACTTTGGAAACCTTGAGACAGCAGTAGATATGCAACAGTAAGCATCTCACCACGCACGTTTCAAAGGGAAACTTTCACATTACATCCTGTAGCCTTAACTCTATAGTTACTGGCCCACTCCGGAGCAGTCTTTTTCCTCCATTTCCAGCTTTCACACAAGTATGTGCAGCAGAGTAATGAATGTCATGCATAAGATCCAAGCAAACAGTTTGTTAACTAGTTAAGAACCCTCCAAACCTCACACCAACATAAAGAAATGTGGTTTTCCCCATGTTAGGCGTGCTCCCTTCAGTAACAACCCAGCTGCTCCGTGCTTTCACTTGACCATCTCCAGTTGGGATATGGAGTCACCCCTGCAGTAAACCCCTGATTGCACCCAGTCTGGGACAGCCTCTCTCGGTAAAACCCTCGACGTTAAAAAAGGCTCAAACCAAAAAAACCTTTGACTAACTACTGCGTCTTGATGAGTGGCTAGGAAGTCACGCTGTCAGTCAGTGTTGTCATCTTAAACAACAGCATTCAAATTATTTGCTTATTGACTTTAATACTTAATCCACACAGATTGGATGGCAGTTTCCAAAGCATATTGATATTACAAGGCAAAGGTGACAGAAGGATTACCCCGATGTAGCAAAACTGAATCTGTCTGAATTCAGAGACTCAACAGGAAAAAAGTGCACTTTTACTAGCACTGCCTGAATACTACACTTTGATTCTCTAGAAACGGGGCATTTTATTCTGCATTTATATTTTTCCTCAAACAGCAAGCTATGGCACTGTTTTCCTATTGACAGATCTTTTTGCTGTTTGCAGTGATAGTTTCTTTTTTTTTTTTTAGTATTTGGGATTCTTCTAAAGTGGGATCTTCTGCACTTCACAGTGACGTTCCTGAAATAACTTTGAAGAAGAAATAATGAGCCTCCCCTTGCTTTACAGGTTCTCTAATACAACGTAAGCAGCTTTACAAGGCTTAGCTAGTCTCTGCTGACCTAACTGCATATTTTACTCCTACAATAAACTAAAATAAGCAGCCTACTTCCACAACAATGGACTAATTAACATAGTGATTTTGTTTGTTTCTTATTAAAAAAAAAATCCTAGTCTTTCAAAAATCAGACATATCAAGTATCAGTGGATGAGATTACTAGAGAGAGAGAGAGAGAGAGAGAGATCATCTTAATAAGCAAATCAATGTTGTGCTAAGGTTGTTGTGTGGGTTGTTGTTTTTTTTTTATTTCCAGCAATTTAGGGTTTGGGGGTCTTTTTGCCCCTGATTCATTTTCTCAGGAGCAGACACTGTGTTCAAATCCCTGCTGGCTGCTGTGTTTGACTGCTCGCCAATCAGCCCTACGGTGTTTATATGGGATCTGTCTGCTACTGAGTCACTGCATCCCTGCAGAGAGCATGAGGTCACTTGCTGCCAGATCAGAGCACCAGCAGGGACAGCCCGGAGCTGAGCCAGACGGTGGCAACGTCTTTTACATAAAAGGCAGGCTCCTCTCTTCTGCCTGCCATAAACTTTCCTGCCTTTGCTCCAGAAGAGGCCAATAATGGGCTTTTTATTAATATATTTCAGAAAGATAAGCTCGCGGAATTTACTATCTGGACCATCTATGTCTCTTGCACTGTGCGAAAGGGATATATACACTGTATATACACACCGTATATATACTGATATCAGGAAGTACTGGGAGGAGAGGGCATTTAATTGGAAAAAACCCCAAAACTATTTTCTCAAACTCAGCTCATCACTCCTGTGATGGCAGACAGCATTCAGACGTGATGCCCCCAGCCTACCTCCTTTGTGTTTGCCCACAAAGGAATCAGCAAAGATGCTTTTAAATTGCCATCATTAAACCTCAGAACTGGTGCCTTATGGAAAAGAAACTAGGCAGCACTCAATTCAGTTCAAGGTATCAGGCAGAAAATTGCACGTTGATGCAAACTTACTTCACAAGGGTTTAATCATTTTCTTTTCAGGGATTTAGTTCCATCACATCTGAAAATTTGGTTTTTGAAGGCCCAATGGCAGCTCTGAGGAGCAGTATTTGATCAAAAACATGTCATCCTTTGGCTTTATCCACTGCCAAGACTTTTTGCTTTCAGAAGAAAAAATGGTTTGCTATCCATAACCAAAGCTCAATGGCCACAGTATTTGTCGATTCCTCATTTTCAGAGGTTCACCTTCTGGCTGATTAATTTGGGCAAAGGTGTAAGTAAATGAACATGACAATCCAGTGGGAAATGCAAGGCAATGGTATCCATAAGCATTGTTACATCCATAGCACGTAATAAATTATG